AAAAAAAAAAACTTTTTCATTTACTCCATACATAGCATTTTTCTTACTTGCAAGCAACAGTGTATATCCAGTGTATGATATTTCCTTAGCTTTTTCTTCCTGTAGCATTTCATTTTTCAAGTCCTTTGCGGAACATAAATGTCCTAATACTTCTTTCTTTTCCCTCAACCCTCATAGTTTGTTTTTTCTTACAGTCAACATTGCAGGGCTGGGAAGCAGATAAAACAGTCTTGCTCAACTCAGATAGGATGTTTAAAAATAAAAAGATACCATGAGCTGCAATTAAATAATGCCCTAGAGGCAAAGTAATTTTCCTCTTCATAATAGCTGCCTTACTCAGATGAGAATTTCAGAGTATGAAGTGTGCTGTAGGCAATTTACCCACTTACTCAGATTTTCTTTCAGATTCAAAATGATGTTCAAATTGAATTAGCATGGTTTACTAATACCACATTTGGAATAATTTCGTATGTTTACATTTTTGCCTCCATCTTTTCCTGTTATTTCTTTGAGTCCTATATCAAGTCTTCTCAGTGATTAATTAAGAAACGATGTGGATTTCTTAACTTGGGTATTTTATTGCATTTCTTGCATTGCCTCTTGGTGACAACTTTGTTTTAATTGGTAACTGTTTTGCATTTTTTAAAATGAGCCTAGCACTCCTCCTATATTGAAAATGCAACAAATGGAATGAAGCATGGGACAAGAATTGAGACAACATGTTTTCCTTTCTTCTTTTTAGATGGGAAGGTTGAAGTTACAAAAGAGGGTGTGAAGCTGTGCACTATGGGTCCAGGAAAAGTGTTCGGGGAGTTGGCTATTCTTTACAACTGTACCCGGACAGCGACCGTCAAGAGTAAGACTGTTCTCATATTTTTCAAATACTTTCAATGTCTTTTTTTCCCTATACCTATGAGATAGCGATTAAAGTGACTATTGATTTAATCTGTGTAATTTTATTAACCCAATTTGAATTTGTGCCTTGCAATACAATTGATATATTTGTTTTCCTACTAAAAGGTGATTGTTAACAATCAGTTCTGGTTGACTTACATTTTACTGCTAATTTATGAAAATTATCCTTTTAATCAGGAATTGCCGTAATTAGGATCTTTTAAATGATGTAATTTTACACGTTAGAATTTAACAGGAGCAGAGCCTTTTCTTTTTCTGTCTTTAAAGGATCATATATAAGAAATTTTTACATGTCTGTCTATTTTGGGTTACATTCCCCATATAAATCCCACTTGTTCACTCAGTGGTTTAGAAAAATTAAGAGGAGAAATACGTCCTTTGTCTCATTCAAACATCATTGAATAAGATATATCCTGAATTCTAAAACTGTGTCTGGGTATATTTTTGTCTTCAATGGCTCATCAAGCTGTATATTATGGCATTTTTCATTTCTACTGATTGAGCTTATTTTAAATCGGGGCAATAAAGCAGCTTGTTTCCCTAATTTTACATGTATGTGTATATATGATTTCTCTAGCAACTTTTGTTGCTTGGTAAAAGCAGCTGCAGTAGTTAGAGGAGGAAAAGCTTTTTTTTTTTTAATTCTCCTTCCTGAGTAAGGATATAATGATTCTATGGGAAACAGAGCTGAATTCAAAAGCCAGCAGTGTAAGCTCCATTGAAACTTCAGGCAGACGTGTGTATTTTGTGTTTGAAGTCTTTCTAATACGTTATCCTGTGAATGATTTCTATCGCAAGTAACTTTGATAAGGTTTTGTTGTTCAAAAAGTGCTATTGACAAAATGATAAGTAAATTGTTAATATCAGTTAATGTTACCTGGGTGTCATTGACTAGTTCATATATTGTTTTTTTTTTTCTCTCAGAAGTACAGCCTATGATTGACAATATGACATTGAAAATTGGATTGAAAGAACTCAAGAATGCATGGCCAACTAGAGTCCCAGAAATTATCTTACGTGTCAATTAGTGAATCACCTAACAATTGATGTCATCACGGTGACATCAATTGCAATGGCAGCCCTTTCAGAATGAGTCCTACTTGGCATTTGATTCTTGATCTCTGAAAGTACAGGACTTGCGATTATAGATATTGCCATGTTTTTATTTTACGCGATCATCTAATTACATGACGTTAAGAATTATTAGGCCCAGTGAATTGTAACAGAATCTGCCACAACTTTAACTCCTTAAAAAGTGCTTTAACTGGAAAAAGAGTAGTTATGACTCCATTNTCTGAAAGTACAGGACTTGCGATTATAGATATTGCCATGTTTTTATTTTACGCGATCATCTAATTACATGACGTTAAGAATTATTAGGCCCAGTGAATTGTAACAGAATCTGCCACAACTTTAACTCCTTAAAAAGTGCTTTAACTGGAAAAAGAGTAGTTATGACTCCATTAAATGAAACTGATTTTACTATCATGCTTCATTTTCATGAGAAATATATCCCTTTTAGGGTAAAGCACACCAAAATAGCACATTTTGTTTAAACAGGCTTTCTCAGAATTATGAATATTAATTTTTTTAAGTTTTTAAAATATTTCAGCCTTGTGTACTGCTCATTTAACCTAATTAAAATTTCCAAAAGTCAACAGTGACTAATAACATGATACTTAGCCTTACAAAATATTGAATTCTTATTTTAAAAAACTATTTTAAACAGACTAGTCTACTTAAATGAATTTTACAGCAAATATTTTTTACAAGTTGATTGCTTTGTTTTATTAAGATCAATTTTCTTATTGGGTTTCTATGAAATGGTGTTCATCTATACTAACATCTATTGTATTCCCATTTGGCAAATTTAAATAGACACTATGCATTTGATTTAGCAAGAAGAAACTGGGTGTTGAATGCAAATTATAATCCTGATTATTTTGGAGTCAGAACATCCATCATCAAAAGCAATGAGTGATGGAGAGTTTCCTTCCTTAACACTGACTCTTAGAAGCCTCAAGAGTTTGTGCATGTGTGCACATGTATGTGTGCACGTGACTGTATGTTAGTGTCTTTCTTCAGAGTGCCTACTTAAGATACGGAGGTTGCATTGGGAAATGAGCCTAGGGTTGATGGTGTGCAAATATCTCTCTGCATATATAGGTACAGAGGTGTTGTGCATGAGTAAGGAATAATATCTATGAACAACTATTTCATCTGAATGTTGTATAAGAACTATAAGGTATGACTAACAATTGTTTATTGTTCATGACCTGTTGGTCCTGTCTCCTCTTTTATACAGGGAGATTGTGCTATGTAGGCCTTAAGTATCATTTTTTTAAATGTTTAAATTGAACCTTCAGGCTGAACACTTTATAATTCTGATTAGAATCCATTGTAATGCTACTTTTTAAAATGATTACAGAATATAACTCCCAATGCTATCATATGTAAAAAATGTCTACAGACTTATTTGGCTCGTAGGTCCAATCATTCCTCAGTATTCAAGATTGTGTTGACTTGTCTGTTTCTTCTTAACTGTCATCTTTTCATTGATAACCATTTGGAGTATCTTTCAAAATGGATTCATCCACTTAGATGTAATAGTCTAAGTCAGAGAAAACTCTTCTTACACAATAGCTTGTCTATCTGTGCCTTTTTCTTTCTTATTTACCTGGGCCTGCAACCCCTTTTCCCCCAACACCACCCACTTTTTTGTGTGATGGAAAATGTTATTGATCCTTTCTTCTTTCTTTCTCCCTAAGTCAGCCTGAAAGCTATCTGGCATTTTAATGCATTTTTAATCTCACAGTAGTGACTAAATCCTAGGTCGCATTCAAGAGTTCTTCAATGTACATGAGTTATTTCTTGTTCAAGAGAGCAATTTACGAAATTGTATTAGGCCATGAATAAATAAATTTCAGTGAGTTCCCCTGCTAATAAATGTGATCTGTGTTAACATATGTGTTTTTTTTAAAAAGCTTAGGTTATCAAAAAATGGTTTTGTTATTAAAGCTCTAGCTTGACATATGCTATGAAATATGATTATAAGCTTGTTCATAGCAGTCCAACTAAAAGAGGCAGCGTGGTAATTTAAAGCAAGCTCTTTGTTTTTCATCTGAGAAAAATCAATTGGCATTCTCCTGAAAATAAACAAATGTATAGCACTTGTTATTATGATAGCACTAGGAGGAAGATCTGATAACACCAGGAAGAATCATTTTTAAAAGTCAGAACCATAGCAATGTGGAAAGGAAAAACCATGTTATGATGCAGAAGATCTGTATTCCCAGTCTATTCCTGTCTTATAAAACAACACGATTGATTTTCTCCTGAGGAATGAGGATATAAAAATGCATAAAATTAAGATTATATTGTAAACAAAAATTTAACAACTGTCTTTACATTATTTGTGGCTTACATAGCCCAAGTTTTCTTTATGAACTATGATATGACAATGGCCACTTTGTGTCTATCCAATCATAAACATTCAGGTTGCCATGGGGAGGAAAAAAGAATGAGTTGTTATAGTTGGCTTTCATAACACCAAACAATCAGTGTCTCCAATGTTGTTTGATTTTTTACATTTTGTCTAAATATTTTGGTATTGTATAGAGAAAGGAATTTCATCATTCATTTTCATACCCAGTAAGGGGCAAGAATTTCACATGTTTACTGAATACCCCTTACTTATGCAATTCCCACACCTGGTGGCAGATCATTATCATGTTTTCCTAAAGTGTCATTCCTGGTTGTGATTTCACTTTCCTGCCCTCACAGCTAAAGCAGTATCAATTTACACTTACCCTGGGCCTCTTTCTTTGCTTCTATGCCCAAGGTTCTTCAAAATAACGAAAATGGAAAAGTTGAAGTTACTGAAAACATAAAAATAGAAAGGAAAAGGCTTTTAGTTAACAATGAGAGAAGGATTCAGTGACACATACCCTGTGTGTGAATTTGCAAGGGCATTTATGCTATTATTCTGTTTCACCTGGATTTTCCACAACCAGCACTCACAACTACATAGGAATTTTTAATGTGATTTGAATATAAGGCTCTTTGCTGCACCTTCAGGTGTACATGATTTGGGGTATTTTTGCCTGAAGATACTAAATTGAAGCCCTGTCCCCTTTATTTTGAGTTTCCAGCTCAAAGTGCCCCCAAATGTCTGATAATGTATAATTCAAATGTCTTTATTTAAATATACTCCAATACAAACCCGAGAAGAAAACAACACTTGTAGAAAAACAGCTTGGTGCCGGGTCAAGATGATCACTATAGAAAGTTATTTGCAAAGTATGTATGTTGTGGGTGTGGTGACTATTTTATGAAGTTTGCTGAGCAAAATGTCTGAGTTATTATTTCTCCTTGGATTATTTACAACGAGTATTTAAAATTTTCACAGTATTAAAATACTTCAGTACAAACACAAAAGAGCCTGAACAGCCAACAAGAAATCTGACAAATTGATGACTCTGATAACATCTGGTAAAAATATTTTTCTGCCTTGGTTTGAATAGACTTTCGAGTTTCCATATTTAAGCTTTTCTAGTATATTAGCAAAGGAGAAGTTGGCTAGTTAACTGACAAATTGATGACTCTGATAACATCTGGTAAAAATATTTTTCTGCCTTGGTTTGAATAGGCTTTCGAGTTTCCATATTTAAGCTTTTCTAGTATATTAGCAAAGGAGAAGTTGGCTAGTTAAGATGTTTTACTAAGTGTCATAGATATTTTAAGAACGAAGTTGGAAGGTTTGGATTTTTCTGTTTATTTTTGTTTTTAAAATAAATTTGAGTCTATGTAGTGAAATGGCTTGTACATTCCCTTGCAGCTATTTCAAGCATGACATTCTTCAACCTGAGTCAGAAAAATCTGCCGACTGTCAAAAACCTAAAAAGACGGATGGGAAAAAATAAAAAGAGATTTGATTGAAATTGTTTGCTCTAATACCTCTAAATGCTATAAATACAATACCTATACCTAATATTTATGCTGTGTAAACCATACGTACGTACAGTGCTTTTTATTAGTAAAGGAACAAAAGGCATGGATACCAATTTTTAGTGTTAATGAAAAGGAATCATAGATGAAGCTTTTACAGTAGCTGTTAACTTTGAAAGTTTCTTAAGATGACTTAAATCAAGAAGTAAGTGATCAGATATTTTTTTTTAAGAAATCATTATAGAGCTCCATAAAACATCATATTTATGATAAAGATACATTCACATGTGAAAATGAAGCAGCACTCTCTGCTAGCACAAACAGTAGTGTGCACAGTGATTACCTGAGATTTTAATGAGCCGGAGTAACCACGTACTGTTAGGCTCCCTGTGCCACAACAAAAGAGCAGAAGAGGTAAGTGTTGATGAGACTGGATTTGTTCTGCCTTTGATAGGTGAATTAAAAAGATGCATGATTTGCCTTATCCCAGTCCAATGCATGCTTTCTACCAAGAATTCTGAAAGAAAGGAGAGAAGACACAAAATACACTTAGGCTAATGAAGACTGAAAACATGACCCTCATTATAGTAGGGACAGTCTAGTGACTTCTCAGGAATTTCATCATCCTGGACAATGAAGCAAACATAGTGCATCCTGGAAAAGTAGGTACACTTGTTTAGTGAGTTAATTAGATAATATTCTTCTTAGTAAAATTTTCATCCCATTTGCCTACTAAAGAGTACTGTGAAATTAGTAACATAAATCCAATTATGTAATCTTTGGAAAATAAATTTCTTGAATAATGGAATCAATTCACTAGGTACCGATAATGCCACATAACAGACTAACGTGAACAAATGGATATACAGAAGCTATCCTTTAATCTCATTCCTTTATTGTTTAAGTATATTAAAAGTGAATTTCAGAGGAGAGAAAAATAATTATTAAATAACATTTTTTTTTCATTTATAGCTTAAGAAGTTTTTTTTCTAGGCTTGGTGCAAACTGTTACAATCCAAATTTAAT